TAGTTTAAATGTACTAGAACATGTATATTGAAATAGGTCATTATTTTATTATTTTCTCGTTCTTAGCATTTTGCTTAGCAAAATGCGCTGAAAGGGCAGACATGACTACACAGAGAAGGTCTGCACACCGTGAGGTGCCTGCTTGTAGCACTTTCCGTTCTCGTTGTTGTCGTTTTCTGAAGTGCTAAGCTTCGTTTTGAGTTTGGAATTTGGCTATCGTGTGCATGAGTGCTCTGCCACGTGTGAGGGTGCTTGTTTCTTCTGCTCATGCAGGTTATGAACTAGTGTGCTGTAGACTCCTGTACCGAAACACTACAACGATACAACCTTACACAATAATAATAATAATAATAATAATAATAATAAATTTTATTTTAAAATTCAAAGTTTAAAAAAAAAAAAACATTTTTTTTTGTTCTTAGTACTTTTTACCTCTTTGACAATTCTCAGTATATTGTGGCAGAATACTCACACATAAAGTTCGTAAACATGCATAACACACGTTGACACACCGATTTAGTCAAGTCACTCGTAGAAACAAGCAATTGACAAGTACAAAGAAGTAACAATTCACAGGTGACCGTATATCGTTCCACAACTCCCAAGAACCACCGTTCGTGCCACCAAACCAGTCCGCTACCGCTACCGCTAGCATTCCGGAATGCTACCGTCTTCACCTGAATAGAACGGCCGGTCATTATAGCCGTATTTGGTGCAATTTCAGTCTTCATACAGCGATAATGACCGGGCGTTCTATTCGGGTGAAGACGGTAGAGGAGTAGAGAATAACGCTCAACCTGAAAGAGGATTACTTCTCAGTACTTTATTCTATAATATCTATATATAGGAAGTTCCTAGGGCTCTAGCAGCATCCACGACTGCTATTCGTTAGTAACTCACATCGCTGGACACCGGAATTAGCGGTGCTTGCCCGATGCCAGGACTACATACGCTAACTACAAAAAAGCAAGAATACCGGTTCGAAACACAGTCCCCTATGAAACAAGGATACTGGCTCGACTCCCGGCTAGCAAAAAACAGGTATACGCAGTCCGCAAAGACAGAACTACAATCTACAGAAATCACACGACGGTTTGAGAACAGATCCGAAAATGGAGAAGACCGGTTCGAAACCTGGACCGCGACAGCACGGGCTATCGCGAAACGAAGAGCGAGAAAAAGCTGCCTGCACAAGTAAACCCCAATCCGTCAAAGCAAGACTACAGTCTACAAATTTAGCATCACAGTTCGAGGCTCGAACGTCATTCAGATGGAAGAAGGCAGCCCTGTCCGATTGTAAGCAACTGAACTGCCGACCCCCAGAATAGATGGGGCACATGTCTTTTTGGGGAAAAAAAAAAAAAAAAAAAAGAGATTTTCACTTGCCAGCTCCTTTACCAACCAGGCCCCCGGAAGGGTCACCTTGGGTGCCTGGGAAGGTCCCTGTATAAAAAAGACCATAACAACTGAATCTAAAAAATCCCCAAAAACAGAAAAAAAAAACTACGTCGTGCAAAAAACTAAACTGAACAACTTTTGCCTCAGGGTCACATGACTCACATCGAAATTCTTTGCCGAACAACAGATAAAATTAAAAAATATAATAAATGTTTCTATTAAATCTATTTCTATTCTTTTATTCATGTTTGGACTGGCTGGGCAAGTGGTCCCCGGGATCATGTCCCACTTGCAGCGTTGAGTAAGTTCAACGCTGAGTTTTCTATCATGTGTGACCTGGGGCGACCCAGGAGATGAGTTCTCTCACGGTTCATCGGGCGGTCGAATTTTCAGAAAAAAGGAAAACAAAAGCTGGATTGCTTTTCTTTAGTAGGATAATCGAACGGAAATCGATCCCCCCGAATACAACGCCCCCTACCCTGGCCCGCTTCCGTTGAGCTAGCTACCTTTCTGGAAGCGGGGTAGCTAGCTCAACGGGCGTTGAGCCATCATTACCTCCTCGTGGAAGAACACTGTGACAAACAAGGGAGGGCACTCTGACAGACGTGGGAGGACAATCTCACAGAGGTGGGAGGACACTTCGACAGACTTGGGGAGGCACTCGTTTCTTTTATTTGGGTGGTCAATGCACATAGCCAGGAAGACCGTCCACGTTCGTTCCACGCTGTAGTGAGGTCCTGTCTCCTACTTCACGCAGTGCATGTAGAGTTCTGTATACTTAGGAGAGTTTCACTCGAGGAGATTCATCTTCTCTTTTTTTTTTTCTAAGAAATATGGACGAATGCAGATTGCCCCACTTTCTTTCGCCATTTACATTTGAGAAAACATGGAAAAAGCGTTCCAGCAGCATTTGATTTTCTTTTCTTGCAGTAGTTTTGAATTTTTAATTTGCAATAACTGTGTCACACCATTGAGCTAGCTCAACTCGACGGTGTAAGTGGGACATGTCCCCGGCCACTTTCGTAACGTAACTTGCCGGCATTTTTTTTTGTTTTGTTTTGTTTTTTTTATCCCAGCTGAGGAGGGGGTGAAGGAAGCTGTTCAGATTTTGCTTGTTGCTTGACAGTGCTTGCTTTTGCCTCTTTCCTCTTTTTTTTTTTTTTTTTTTTTTTTTTTCTTTTTTGGTAATTGTATGTTGATTCAACTTGATTGTCGTGCATTTGTCTGTTTCTCGTTAAGACACGTGGCAGAATTCAAGGTTTTGAAAACGATCGATTGAAGGATAACGGTGGTGATGATGACAATGGCGATCCAGAAGCCGAGTGGACATCAACTTTGTACACAGTCTTCCTGGCCATGAAGGTGGGAGCTCAACAACCATTCAACTTTTTTTTTTTTTTTTTTTTTTTTTGAAATGCGAGGGTAGTACCCTGGGGGTGATATGAGCACCTCCCAGTACTACGCCAGCATCCGTGGCACCGGTCTTATTGGTGGGGAGCAACGCCTGCTGGAAAACGGGTCCAGAATCCCTTGGTAGAAAAATACGATTCAAGATCCTTACAGTGTTGCTTGCCCCTACTGAGGATGAGGATGGGGAAAGAGGACAGCCTGTGGCATCCCACGGTCGCACACGGGCCCCGGTAGGCCCCGGCCAGTAGGTTAGAGATTGGAGTAGGGGGTTTTCGGGTCTGATATGCCGTAGGGTCCGTTGTTGACCAGTACCGGTTAGAAGCCCCGTAGGCCTGGTTTAGGAGACAGGCCCTGGCGCGTGTTTTGGCGCCAAGCGCCGTTTCGGTTAGGCGCCTGGCCGTTGAGGCCCAGCCTCGGTTTTGACGCCAGACTCATTACGACCGTCGATCACGACCTAGATTGGACAGCCCTTTTTGATTCACGTTACCGCCTGAGGACGGACCAGCGTTATTTATAGCTGGTCGGCCTCAGCTTCGGTAGGCATTCGATAGGTATCGTAGCGGAACACTTCGTAGTAGTAGCGATAGTCGACGATGCCGGTAAGGAGGTAGGACTTCGGCTCTAGCATGGCGCAGCTGCAATACACCGCAGCACACACACACACACACACAGAGAGAGAGAGAGAGAGAGAGAGAGAGAGAGAGAGAGAGAGAGAGAGAGAGAGAGAGAGAGAGAG